CTCACGCGTGGCTCCTGGGGGCCGGGGCCTCGTCCTGTCCCTCTGCCCGGGCTCCACAGGCCGAGCCTGAGGTACCGGCGCCGGGGAAGAGAGGTCAAACTTTTATTGAAAACAAATCTTGAGGGGTTAAGTGGTTTTGCAGACGTTCGTTGTTGACATCAGAGAAAAGCTGTATCCAAGCCGCTTTATCTACTGTTGCTAATGACTGCAGAATACAATGTAAACTGAGTGCAGTATTGATATTAGACTTGTTTTATTAGTTTGGCAACTTTATAGATGATTTACGGCTGTACGTGAAAGGAGGAACTGGTGGCATGGGTTACCCTCGCCTGGGTGGGGAAGGAGGGAGAGGTGGTGACGTCTGGTTCGTGGCCCGAGAAAGAACCACCTTGAAAAGCATAAAGGAAAGATATCCCCAGAAGCGGTTTGTGGCTGGAGCAGGAGCCAACAGCAGGTACGAGTCTGTTGAATTGGAATTCTTGTATACATCTTTTCTAGAAAGCAAAATGCCAGCTTAAGTAGCTAATCCTGCTTTAATTTCTCCCAGTGTTAGAGCACTGAAAGGTGAAAAAGGGAAAGACTGTGAAGTTCACGTGCCTCTGGGAATTTCAGTTCTTTGTGATGATGGCAAGCAAATTGGTAAGAACTTTTGCTTTGGTTTAGTATATCCAGTCAATACAGTCGAGCCTGCTGATGATCTCAGAGGTCTTTTCTGGCCTCCGCAGTTCTGTGTGATTCTGTGATACTTTTGTGTTTATTGATGGCATCTAGCCTACTTCCAACACTAGGGTGTTTTAAGGTTACACATCTCTTCCTTTGGACAAAGAGTTGACAAAAAAAATACACTGGAGAAGTAGCTGGAAAAAGCAAGGACCCCTTCCAGAAATTAGCAGTGGTCAGTTTGTGTCACTGTATGCAACAGAAAGAAAATTGCCCTTGCAAACAAGTGATAAAGGCTGGAAGCCATACTGATCCTCCACAGAATTGTTAATGACCTTACATAAACTGTGTGTCCATAAACTCAGCTAAGTCTCCTTATAACATTACTGAGTTGTGACATTACTTAAAGATCCTTGCTGAATGCCAATACTTAGCTGTTGTGGGGTTTTTAATCCTTTTTAAAAAGTGGTACTTTACTTGTTAGTAACCAGGAAGATCTGTTTCAATGTGGTGCTCTTGGAATTGTAGTTTCTCAGGGTTTTTTTCTCATACTGTTCAGAGTTCAAACTAAATTCATAAATGACTCTGATTTTGATATTTTAACAAAATTGGATGTATGGTTGCCATACATCCTACATGCCTACATGATGTAGGCATGTCAGTGTCTAAAGGTATCCTTGAATTATATACTCAGGTGTTGCATTTTATTTTTTTAAATTATTCTAACCCTAAGGAAGATATTGTAGCCTGCATCTTAATGAAAAAATATGGAATATCTGAAGAGTTTGCAGTAGCCACATCTCTATCAATGAAAATTTTTCGTTGTACTCTCGAATTCAAGTATTGGCGGTTTCAGAGTTACCATCTTAGCCATGCTCTGCCTGCCTGTACTTAGCACCTTTCTTGAAGTGACTGTGTGACAGAGGGGACTACTAGGCTGTGATTGCTCTCATTTGCTCCCAAAGAGAGGAAAATACCATGACCCTGAGTGCACAGCTCTTGCAAGAAAGCGTACAGAAAATTCTTTCTTCGCTGAAGACAGATTTAAAGGGAAAATCACAGCTGATGGTGGTTTTTGACTAGTGAATTTATTTTCAGGAGAGCTTAATGCACCGGGAGAGAGATTCTTGGCAGCTCGCGGAGGTCTCGGAGGCTCTTTGGTCTCAAACTTCATGCCTTGCAAAGGTCAGAAGCGAGTTGTTCGTCTTGATTTGAAACTTATAGCAGATGTTGGCTTAGTTGGGTAAGTACTGTAGTTTGACAACTGATATTAGAAAACAAAGTAGTACGTTTCAAATGGGATTTCAAAGAAATTTGAGAGTTTGGAGGGTGACTACTGTACATTTGCATTGCCACTTAAATGACTTGCAGTTTGCAAATCACATAGAGTTTAAATCTATTAAAATTAATTTTAAAATTCAGGTAGTATTTGCTATGCTTTTCAATCAGAGTAATATATAATTATTAATATAAATTAATTTAGCGATTGCGGTGATTATCAAAATAGTATTAGCTAATATTTATGAAGTAAGTAGGAGGTGCAAAACAGAGCCAAGAACACTATCTTTATTGCATGTTCACCTTTGTGGTGCTGGCACAAGTGAATCCTTTCAGTAGTAGTTAAAAAGAGAGTTTCAAAGGCTGCGTAGCCTACTCTTCCAAATAAATAGCTCAGAATATTGGAAAAAGGTAATTACACTGGAATAGTACAACTTGCATTTCTTTTACTTTGGTGCTTTTCAGTGTTGCTGCATTATTACAATGCAGATAAATATATTTTTGTTTGGAGAAAGCTTTCAACAAACTGCAGTCGGTCTACTCAGCATCTACTCCTCATCCCCCTTACCCCCCTCTCTCCATGGTCATTATTAATAAAAAGCATAGGATATGTAAAGTGATGAAGAGTTGAGGTGGAAATATTCTAATTATTATATACTGTTAGAGAATGGAAACTTGAAGATAAAGAAAAATGTAGGTAGAAAACCATTATTTTTGCTTATTAGAAATAGTTCTGTTTAATATTAGATTTATCTAGAGTTATATGATTTTTCAAGTGGTCTTCAGTAATTAAAAACCAGAATTTTCTTTTTGTTTTACAGTATGTGAGAATATAGGAGTTTTATGATACCAGTGCTGCTTTAGTCTTGAATTTTGGCTTGTATTCTAGCTGATGGTTTTCCTTAAAAACGGATAAGGTTATTCATTATCAGTTAATTAGAGGAGCATATTATTTTCTTGTTGAGAGTATGAATCAGCCTCTGATAGTTTGTGGTTGTACTTTGATCTCTTTATGTTTGTTATTTTTACTTAGGTAGATTTGCAAATGGTTTGCTATTAGATCATGAAAAAATGCACAGACTTGAGAAAGGCCGGTCGGGTTTGGGTACAGGTTGTGATGTGTAGTGTAGCTTGCAATTTAAACTTCAAAGGATACGTTGTACCCCAGTGCAAACAAAGTACTCACTTGAAATGATGACCAGAGTAACCTTCCAGAATGTCTTTAAGGCACCTTTCAACATCAGAGCGCATTAAAACTACTCTCAGTACTTTTCCTGCAAAAGTACTTTTCCAGCAAAAGTCATTATGTCTCTCTTTTTTTTCTTTTTTTTAAGAAAAGCCTGTATACAGCCACTTTACAAAGATAGTCTTATTTTTCATTAGCTTGTGTTCTTACTAGTTGTCCCTGTTAACAGATCCTGATCCTGTATGTATTCGGGTGGAGAGTATATGGGTTTCTGCGTAATGCTTGGCTTTTTATCTTGAGACCGATGATCAGCTGCCTGTAGACAGAGTTCTCTTTGATCACTGTTGTGCAGAATTCACTGTTTGTGAATTTGACTGGAACACAAGTCTTGTGCAATCTCCTGTGTGGAGCAGGTGCCATGAGTAAGGACCACAGCCCGTCTTCTGATGTCAGCGTTAGCTCTGAGTTTGACGTGGATCAAGGCTATTGTCTTTTACAGCTCAGATTAATCTTTAATATAAGCATGTGTTGTAGTTTCCGTTTTAACTTAGGTTTCCATTTCAGTGGGTAGATGTATTATGTGACAAAGGTCTTGTAAAAGCTACTGTATCCCTTAAGGAATGTTTTTGTTGTAGTATGCAGGTGTAGCTATCCCTTGTAAAGCGGAAAGGTTACAACAGTCAGCTCTGCACAGATGTCTCCTCGGGCTTCATCATACGCTTTTTGATTTACTTGATAACAAAGCAGGGTAGGATCCCTTAAGGCAAGTTTGTTGCCTTAAAAACGTACACAAAGAGAGAGTGTGTGAGTGTGAGTGTGTGTGTGAGTGTGTGTGTGTGTGTGTGTGTGTGTCTATATACACAACGTCTCACCCTCCCTCTTTTTCCTCCTCGAGGTAGGTACTTAGAGAGTTGATATATGCTTTACTACAGTAGCTAAACTATAGCATAGATATTACTGCTACTTAAAAACTGTAAATCCAACTGATAAGAAATATTTGCATGACAGGTAATTAGAATGTGAGTGTAATTTACAAAATGAATTGTAGCATGCGAAGACTGAATTCAAGTAGACCTGCCTTATTTCTATCTGAGTGACTTTGAGAGATTTCCCTTAAATGTATTACGTGTGTATTTGCATACCTCTCCTGCCTGCATCCTCAGGAAGCATTGTTGGATTTAGAAAAGTTATTAAGATTTTATTTAAAAAAATCATAATATTCTGAGGATTTTTGTTTGATTTTGTTGTTGTTTTTAAAAAAAAAGCCTGAGTGAGTCTCCAAAAATTACCTTAGCGAAGCATAATGCTATCAACTAATATAGTGTATTTGGTAATAAAATATACAGGAGTCATGTATGTGTTTTCTCAGTGTATAGATCCTGACTTCTCTTGTAGATTTCCAAATGCAGGAAAATCATCCTTGTTAAGCAAGATTTCGCATGCCAAGCCTCAGATTGCAGATTATGCATGTAAGTTTATACACTTTATTTTTAGAGCAGCAATATTTCAAGAGCAAAAGTATTTTTTCTTGACTTGGTTTACAGGTTTATAATAAAGAATAGGGAGTGACCATGTTGACTGTGAAATATGTTACACAGGTTTTTAATTATAAGATATACTTCAAAGAGAGAACTTGATGTTTCAATGTCCAGTTTCTTCAGCCACCACAGTTTTTCATGTATACACTCTCCTAAGTGCTTCAGCCTGTCGATGCATGGTCTGCTTAACATTTATTTTACTCTCAAGCCATTTTATTGCATCTTACACTCTCCGTGGTGTGTAATATCCTTAGTCTGCTGAATATGCACCATCAAGTTCCTTTGCATAAACATCTTTATGCTTTGGAAATAGCTCCTGCCTGTTCTTGCAACAGAGTAAGATTTTGAGTTTGAATCAGTCCATTGAAAAATGCCATTAGTTTTCTATCAGTAAAGTAGGATTAGCCATCTGATCATGCTTCAATTAAGAAACAAGAGTACAAGTACTGATAATTTCTACTAACCTTCTTGCACCACTCCTGATTCTCTACAGCCTTTCTCTGTAGTCTGGATCATCTTTTTGTGTATAAGACTTCTGTAGCTGCTCTGTTCCCTTTTTGGGATGATGGGAACAGAACTGCACAGAGTGTCAGCGATTTGGTGAACCATTTGGGAGTTTTTTTGAGTTATCTAATTTTGTTTTCTCTGCTTTGCTTTTTCTTTACTCCTTTTCCAGTAATTCTTGACATCCTATCTGCCTTATTTTTTTGTGCTACTGAACATTTGTTTCATTTACATATAAAGTGAGAAAGTCCTGCAACATTTAAATGTTTTGTAACATTAACGTGTTTTAAAATGTTAAAAGCTGCTCTATTTTCTTCCCCTCCTCTTTTCCTCCCTTGTAATAGTTACAACAGTACAGCCCGAACTAGGAAAGATCATGTATGCAGATTATAAACAGGTAGGTATGAAAGTTCATTCTGGTTGTTCGTTAAAGCTGTATGTAGTGGCTAGTTGCTTAACGTATTTTCAGGAAGAAAAAAGGAAACTCGTAGGTTTTTTCATATGTTTATCTGTAATGTATACATATAAAATGTAGTCACATGTACTTAAAGTTGTGAAGAAAGTACTCTTTTTATAAAGTAGTAAGAAGAGAGCTTTATAGCCAAATGCTGTACTATGACATTGAGCTGATTTCAAGTCACCTCAATAAATGGCTTCGCATTTTCCCTTGTCCCCTTTCTGTGGTTCTAATCCTACTTTATAATATTACAGTTGTGAGCTCCTGTGTGGAATAGAGATTTATCCTAGTGTGTGTATATATATATATTTATATATATATATACTTTGTCCTAGTATACTCTCGTTAAGTGTAGAACTTTTGAAAAAAATCATTGTTTCAGAGACTTTTTATTTAGAAGAGGCAAATTTTCTGCAGGTTGGCTCTACAGAGAGCTCTGGGATGAATGAGTCATTTTCAAAATAGATTTTAAATGGGGACAAATCTGTCCAGTAGCTGCAAATCTGCAGTAGTGAATTACAGGGAATTTGGCGAATATAGTTAGCTGCTCTGACTTCCTTTTTATGGCTTTTTTTTTTTTTTTTTTTTTTGTTTTTTTATATAAAAAACTAAAATGGGATGAAGTGATAGTGATTGCCTGAACAGTCAGGGTAGGGCACTACCTGAGAGGTGAGGTACCTGGGCCCAGCTCCTGTTGTGGTGGTCTGTAGCTCTGGAGGACTGGTGGAGCTACTGCCCTATCACCTTAATTTTTTTGAACCCAATTCCACAGCTTCTTCAGGTAATGTTGTCAGATAATTGTGTCGTACCTGAAATCCTTTCTGCAGGATCCGCTGGGGGCATAGCAAACACTAAATGAGACTCTTACTAATAGATTTTTGGATCACAAGTTCATGTAAGGCTGCAGCAAACATTTTGATTCCTCAGGCTTGAATCTCCTTGATGTACTTTTATTTTGTTTAAGCGTATCGTACATGCAGTACTGGACTCATCATTTCCAAGATAAAAGGCAAATGCATAAAAGAATTTCAGATGAGTTAACCATAAAAGCATACATCTCAGATATGAAAAGACAGAAAACTCATCTTTTCACTTGCAGAGACAATAATCTTAGGGGGATTCAGTAGCTGATGCTTGAAACCTTCATTTAACAACCTGTAGCAAAACTGTATGTTAAAGGAGGTAAGTCTAGTTTGTCATGTTCCCTGTAGACATGCACACGTCGAAAGGAATATTTTTTTTTTGTATATTCATTTTATCTGCTACTTTAGGATAACTTATCCTAGAAAACTGTGCTGCAAATAACAGGATTGTTTATAGCCTTTTAAAAAGCTGAGTACCTGCCATCAATCGGGACCTTTTGCTCTTCCTGGTGTATCTTTCTCCAGCAGGAGACTTATTTGTGCTCATGGCTTTCCTTTTTTTTTTTTTTTTTTAATAACCTACAGAACATTGATGGTTTTAAGGAAATAGATAGTAATTTCTTATTTTATCTTAGTACATTATAAAGAGGAAAATACATGCGAGTGACCTGGTGCTGTCTGTCGTTACTACTTGGAAAAGACACAAAAGTAGAGGATCTTAGTATGGGTTTGGCTTCAGGTCTTAATGCCAGATCATTGAAACTAGAAGAGTCATTGACATTTTCTACCACAATAGCTGAACCAAGTCCTGTTTTTCAAGAACTAATTTCTTTCTGAGTTCTGTGAAAAATATTCTTTGAAAGAGAACTGAAGTTGAGGAAAATGATGGTGATGATGCTACTAAGGCACCCAAACGCATCTCATCAGGCTAATGCATGTTTCTCTTCTAATTCTCTGGATATTCTCTCCCTGTTTCTAGCTACAAGTCTCTGCTTCATCCAGCTGTATCTCATGTCTCTAAAGACAGAACATTCTGAAGCAAGACATCAGATATGCGTCAGACATGCGTAACAGTTAAAAGTTAGTGTGACACAGGAGTGGGAGTGTAGCTCACTTGTAGCAGAAGGTCCCTTTCTGCAATAGGCAGCACACTGGAAAGTTTACCAAGTTTTGGGAGTTGTTTAATTGAACCCATTTGGTGCCTAAATGGTTATTAGATTTGAAGACCTTACTTTTGCACTTCTTTGATTCACTATCTGCCTTAGCTTTCTGTGAGTTACTAAGATAATTGGGGGGTTTAGCATTCTGCTCTTTTTCAGTCTGTCTCAGCTCTCCTTTACTGTGTACAACCCTCTCAGCCAGCAGAGGAAGTGCCAGGATTCCTGCCCACTGCGGCAGTCTTTGCTGGTTGGAAGCTGATAGACTAACCAAAATCTCATTTCAGTTGAAGAGCAGAAGAAAAATTCTTGGAGCTTCACATGCTCAGGGGAACAATGTTCAGTTGGTTTGCATTTGGAATAATGATCCTCTGTAGCCACAAGGAGCAGACTTTATTTTCTTTCCAGGGACAGTCTGAGTTCTATGCAAATGCAATGGCCTGATCTTCTTGCCTTTCAGAGTCTGCTTTATTCTCAGGTAATAGGGAAATTTTGCAAGTTCTCTGCAGAGATATTTTTTGCCAAGGTATTTTTACCCTCTCTTTTCTGCTGTGCAGACAGCTATAAATAAATAGACAGGGAACATGAGGAGCGCAATGTCTGTGTAATAGTAGCATTTTGTTCAGATTTGCTTCTGATGATAGATTCTAAATGTATTGAAACAGCCAGTGCCTACTGCTGGAGAACGGATCCCACGCACAATCCCAAGGAATACGTGTAGTTGTAAAGGGACTCTCTCAAGTCCTGACAGTTGTTTGTCTGGGTTCTTTTGTTTGTGTAAAATCATAATAGGTACTGATAGTTGAAAATTTTTGCTTGTTGGTAATCTTTTTATTTAAAACTTTTATCTTCCTAGATTTCAGTAGCTGATCTCCCAGGACTGATTGAAGGTGCACATGCAAACAAAGGGATGGGCCACAAATTTCTCAAACATGTGGAAAGAACCAAACAGCTTCTTTTAGTTGTAAGTTAAATAAAATTTACTGTTTATTGAAATCAAAAGCAGTCCAGTAAATGAAATACATCTTAATTACAGTGTAGCTGGAATTTAGAAAATAATTTGTAATTTGTGTGGTTTATGATAAATATAACTGTAATACTGTTTTCAGAACAGAGCATTCAAATGTAACTAATATTGTTTTCAGAATGGAATTTTCAAATTACTGATGATAAATTAAATCCTTAAATAGAATTTATCACTACAATTTGCCAATTAATTTAGAAGTGTTCCAAGCATAATTAAAACATGGGGTGATTTTTTTTCTTCTTTCTCTTTTTCTGTAAGATCTCCTTAAAAAAGAAATCTAAAAATCAGACCTTTGAGAAAGACTCTATCAGAATCAACCAGTTTATGCTTCCAGTGTGTGGTGTTGCTGTAGTGTATAGTTGCTCCCTGTTGTTTGCCCAGGAATGACAGCGTGTATGTGGACGTTTTACCGACAAGTAGTTGATGGAGAGTACCTTGCAACTGTAAAATAACTTAATACCACAAAGCTTGGTTTTGTGTAACTTTTTGTTTCAGGTCGATATTTCTGGGTTTCAGCTGTCCATGAAGACTCAATTCAGAACAGCCTTTGAAACTATATTGCTTCTGACAAAAGTAAGGTCTCATGTTCCTGTCAGTCTTTTTGCAGTAGGCTGTTTGAGAATCAGCTGGCGTGTTTACCTGAAATACCTGTGTTTGAGTAAAACAATCACTGAGTCACTGAACATTACTTTCTCCAGTCAGACTGCTTTAATACATTAATGTTGAGCACCTGAGCAAATCTCACAGCTGCCTAGGCATGAAACACTATTTAAGCAATTAAATCAGAGAGGAGATGTGAAACTGAAGTAGTGCTTGTTAAACTACAAATACTTGCTAAGGCAGTTTTACTTGTTCTTTAAGGAACTGGAGCTGTACAATGAGGAACTCCTAACAAAGCCTGTGCTTCTTGCCATTAATAAAATGGATTTGCCTTGTGCAAAGGATAACCTGAGTGAACTTACAAAACAGCTACAGAATCCTCAAGGTAAATTAACTCTCAACAGTTACCCTCAATAGAAATAGTAAGATTTCATCAGAGATAACCCTGCATTGGCAAGGAGTTGTTTGAAACTGAAGGGAAGTCAGCTATTAGATCTGTTATTTGAACATATGTGTTAAAACAACTTCCTGCATTTAGAGCTGTTTATATGCATTTGTAGTGCTGGCTTCACTCTTGGGGAACTATTTTAATAACATAGAGATATCCTAGAAGATCTTTTCCAACTGTGATATGGGAGAGTAAATTTCCAGTATAGGTATCTCAGATAACAGTAAGCTCTGTTCAAGGTCCCCTTACAGCACTGATGTATATACAATTTATCATGGGACTTTGGCCAAAACACATGAAAATTCTGGATGGGCCTATGTAGGTTTGCTTCAATTTTACTATTACTTTGGAGTGAATTTTTTCCTGTTTCCTGGAGCATGTAAGCACCAGGAAGGCTTAAAAACATCCATCTCCCATATTTTACAACTTGGGATTTCTTTGTACTCATTGTAAAGGAAGGGTATAGAACCTATTCATGGGAGCATAACTGGTGTATTAGTGCTTGTATTCTGAGACTTGAGGTATTTTTTTTAAGATTAATGAAGCAAATAATACTTCTATATTAATTGCAGTTATGTTTTACTGTAACTTATTGAAGTTTATTTTTCTAAATTTAGTGGGATTTTATGGGCTTTGTAGTGATAGAGTATTTTGGAATTGTACTAACACTTTCAATATGCTTTTTCAGACTTTTTACACTTACTACAGGAAGAAATTATTCCTGCAAATACGCTTGAATTCAAAGATATAATTCCTATGTCTACATATACTGGAGAAGGAATTGAGGAACTAAAATCATGTATAAGAAAATCCATAGATGAGGAAGCAGAGCAGAAGAACGAAGAGTATCGGAAAAAGAAACTACTACTTTTACAAACTTCAAAAGAAGAACAGATGAACAGAAGCTAGCATTCTTGGCTGGATCCAGCACAGTTTAATATTTTTAGTATGTACATGAACCCTTTGCTATGCAGAGCTTCCATCTAGTTTTTGTTCTCGCTAACCCCACTGCCCCCTTCTCTGCTCCCCCATGTTGTCTCAGCTTGTTTTGGCACTTGGGTAGAGCACAGTGGGGAAAAGAGGAGGTTTATCTGATTTATATTGATGACCAACTCAGCAGAGTGAAGACCAAAGTATGTGCACCTCAAAGTGCTGCTTAACAGCTGATAATCCCTGGAGTATTTCTTTTTCCAAATGAGATAAATGGAAGGAATATAACTCACACAGGTAGCAGGGGAGCAGATGCAACCACTCTACATCTTCTGCCACAGGCATCAGAAGCACCAAGGGAAATAAGGGAAATTTCTGATGGAGCAGTTTTTCAGGGTCTTGTGCTGCTAAGGTTAACCAGTTCTGGTATTTTGACAGGTATTGAATTGTGGAGTTTTTGTTATTTTTATAGATTTAAAGGAAAATAAAAATAAATGGCTGCAAGGAAGTTATATGTAGAATGAGAAAGCAAGGCGGATGTGTAATATGGGAGTTTTTTCACACCTGCTGGTGCCTACTGTAGTCCTCTTAATCATATAAATTCTGATTCCAAATTCTCACTCTTAATTTGGGATTCCCTCCTTTTATGGAGTTGTGGGTGTGTTACTTCTTGGTGAAGAAAATGTATAGTTCTCTGGAACAGTGGTCATGTTTGGGAACAGTTAATGTTCCAGGTTTTGTATTACAAGCAGACACAGGTACATACTACTCCGTTAAAGAAGTGTTCTCTACTTCAAAGCTATTAAATTGATTGCAAAACAAAGTAAGATTGAATACATCAAAGGCTTCTCAATTTGGTCTTAGTTTGTTTTCTAAGTATACTTACCAAACCCTGCTTCTCTAAATTATGTTAAAGCAGTCACTGAGAAGAAAGGTGTGATTGCTCATAATCCAATTCTTCTATCGTTAGTATTGGTTCTCATTCTGATTTTCCTCTAATTTTGTGTTTGGGACTACCAAAGCTAGGTATGTGGGCTGTCAATGATTTTTGGTACTCCATTTATTTCATAGTCAAAAATAACTTTGTTAGGGTCAGACTTCTTAAACACTGTTCTGAATTAAGGTGGGGGGAAAGTTTGAAATGAGCTGGCTTGGTTTTGTTTCAGCATTGTATGAAGAGTTCTCTGAGGTTTAGTGATGAACGGAGGGTAAGTGCAACATGGAGTTGGTCTTAAGAGTGGTGTAACTTGCAGGACCAGCACTTACCCCTGCACTTGTGGGGTTGATCCACACAGCTCACTGGGACAGGTGAGAATCCAGTGTGAAAATGCAGCGTAACTTAGAGAATCATAGTCATGGAATGTTTTGGGTTGGAAGGGACCACAGAGATCTAGTCCAACCTCTCTGCCATAGGCAGGGATACCCTTAACCAGTCCAGGTTGCTCAAGGCCTCATCCAACATGGTCTCGAACATCTCCAGGGAGGGGGCATCCACAACCTCTCTGAGCAATCTATTCCAGAGTCTTGCCACCCTCGTACTGAAGAACTTCTTAAGATCCAATCTAAACCTATTCTCCTTCAATTTAAATTGATTTCCCCTTGTCCTATCAGTGGACACTCTTGTAAAAAGTCCCTCTCCAGCCTTCCTGTAGATTCCTTTCGAGTATTGGTCTCCCTAGAATCATCTCCAGGCTGAACAATCCCAGCTCCCTCAGCCTATCCTCATAGCAGAGGTGCTCCAGCCCGTGGATCATGCTTGTGGCCTCCTCTGAACTTGTTCCAGCAGATCCATATCCCCCTT